GCTAACCACAACTTGGTAAAAACGGTTCTGTCAATTAGAGCTATCACCCAGTTAACAGCGGTTAAAATAATATTAAACGAACGCTTTAATTTGTGCGACATGTCTCTTTACATTTTGACAATCTTTTGTAGCGATGAATGTTCGCTTCACCTTCAGAGTTGGTTAATGAATGAGAATGGTTAAAAGAATACGTATTCAATTGGCTAGAAGAAAAGGAACTGCATGTAGACAAATTTAATGGAAATTTTAGGTTTATTTGTACGTACATTGGTTTTCCAAATTTTTGAGGATAAGAAAATTAGGTGATTTTGAACAGACTTGGTAAGCATTTTGGTACCCAAAGATTTTCTGAAGTGGCAACACTGGCACTGTAGCACTCTTTCAGCAGTGTCTGTCAGAAAACTATATTGTAACTGAACTCATCTTGTTTCCCATATCGTCAGCTGACGCAGGGTGGAATTTTTGGATTCCTAATTTAAAATATTTTAAAAATTTTAAGCGACATTTTTTTAATTGGAATTATTTTATGTTTTTCCTAAAAATTCAATAAAAAATTCAAAAAACTTACATAATAAAAATAATTTAATAGTATTTTTAAATTTAATATTTATTAATACATTAGTTTATCGATTCATTAAACGGTAAGAAACTACCAATTGCTTATTTCAAACCATAGTCAAGGATGACATGATACGAGATTGTCTCATTTTACCTACTTTTTATCTCATTCTCTTTCTCTAATTATGAAGATTCGGGAATTTTGAACAAATGAATGAAAAAAAGGCGGGATGCCGGAAATAAACCCGCTAAAAGTATCTGACGAAAGCAGTGTGAAACGAGATTTAAGGACAGCACAAATACCAGAGAATGTAAAATATAGAGAAGGTTCACAGTGCGGCCATTAGCAAAATATTTCACTTTTGGGAGGGGTACTGAATACTATGAGCGTGTTTCACCGAATGGCCACAATTAACATCAGGGGACTGAAAAATAGCAGAATTGAGCATTTTCAATGTTAATTAAGAAAAATAATGCTAATTTCAATGTTAAGAAATGTACGCTTACAGATTCGTATATTTACAATGCGCAAACGACTTTGGATATAATTTGAAGATATTCTGACTATACAGGGTGGCTAACGAATCGTGCCAAAAAATTTAACCGTAATAAGTTTCTTTTTAGTCAATGCATTACATTTATTTTTTTTTTATTGTACAGAAAATTTTATTTTATTAAAACAATTAATTATTCTTCCGTACTCAACCACGCATATGCGAGACCTAATTCGGGATTGCTTCAATTATCTATTTAATGGACTGCTTCAGTTCAATCAGATTTCTGGGTTTGATTTTGTACACCTCTTGCTTGACATAACCCGATAAGAAAAGACCGAGCAATCGCAAATATTCTTATACATAATATATGTATAATTATGTGTGCATGTAAGCAAATATGAAAGTACCCATTATAATTATTAATTTGTCTACATGCAAAGTATGTATTTGAATATGTACACTCATTGTTTCATGGGAAGTCTCCGTTGCCACGGAGAACCAATGGCCGAAGCTCATGTTTTGTTGTTTTCTTGTCAAAGAGTCACTGTGTCGAAGGACTGACGCGACGACAAAGCGTCACAACATTGTGTTGTTGGTAGGAAATCCGAATTATGCCGAAAAAAATAACGAACGGCCGCTGATTGTCACCGCTTCTTGCCGCTCTAACAGCTTTGGATTCAAACTATCGTAAATATGTATGTTTATGCATGAGCATGCATACATATTGAGGGAGATTTTTGTCATGAAAAAATATTTTAAAATTGAAAAATTTTTTAAAATTGCGGGGTTGCAACTTTTCCCTTCTAGAGGGAACATCAGAAATTTGTTCAATTTATGATTTTTAGCTTTTGCCATCGTCGCGAAAAGAAGGTTGTAGGCAACCGCATGCTCGGGGAGATGAAAGGGTGTCTGTTTTTATGAATGAAGCGAGGTTGCTTGTTGAAAGTACGCCTGCGTTCATGAATAAAAATGTTGTTGTTGTGTGATTTACTATAAATTTGGGCTTCGCCTATTTGGCTGACATATTGACTTGTGACGATTGTTGTTTGTGTTGAACAATGTTTGTAGTTTTTGCGGGTGACATATTTGCATGTGTACGAATATATGAATGTAGGTTTGTGTATTCATTATTTGTGTGGCAATGTCATACGTACATATGTATGTATGTACATATAGAGCAGAGCGCGCAAATGTTATTCCTGATAAATGATAATAACTTGATTTGAATCTGAATTGTACTTACATAAGTACATACATATGTATGTATGTAAGCTTTAAATCATGAAAGGTGTGATTTGCATATATTACTATTTAAATATATTAAGATTTTTAGATATTATTTTAGTTAGTCATGATATATAATTATGTATATATGTATATAGTAAAACATAGCAGATACATATACATACATATGTACTAATATTAAAGCATTTTATATTATCAAACATAAGCAATATTTAAAAAGAAACTGCAAATATTCCTTTGAAGTAGTATATTTTATTTAAAATGTAATACATTTTTCATGATATCATAGATATTCAGAAAAGGAATTTCATATCTATGAATACTTCTGAAACTTCTGAGCATAATTTTCATACAATGCTCAGCTCCGTTCACGTGCCACTGTTAAAATTTCTGCTTCCGAGCCGACTGTGGTGAAACACGCTCATCGTATTTTGTTAGGTTTTGACAACTCACACGCTGGTCCGTAGTTGGACCTTTTCTATATTTTACATTTTCTGCAAATACATTTGAATAACGTGCAACTAAAGTTTTCTTTACTATTCTTTGTTATAAATTCGAAATAGTTGCATTTAAACGTTAATCATAAAATCATGATATTTATTAGGATTTGTATGGTTTCTTTGATATAATTTTTTTATTTATATATTAGTTTTTTATGTTATATGATTTTTTAGTTTTATAATATAACTACACGTATTTAGAGCTGTATATGTGTGATATAGAATGAGTAACCCTATAAATAATATCGAAATGCCTATTCATTTTCTCTCGACCGGTGCAGGATTGACAAATGTTATAAAATATGTGGGTTTTGACAGCTCTCTCTCGAATCAAAGAGTTTCGTATCATGTCATGCCAAGTTTTTTTGGGTGGTGTGCGCAAAAGAGCCATAATTTTCTTATTGACAGCAAGGATATACTGATCCGAAACTCTTTGAATCGAGAGAGCGCTATCAAAGTCCCCATTTTTTATAACATTTGACAGTGGTGTCACTAAGGAAAGAAATAAGTTTTGAGATCTTTTAATGTATTTCTTGGGTATTTTTCGGTTGTCATATGACAGAAAAATATATATAATTAATATTAGTTTTAACAAACTAGATATCCTATATGCAAATATATGTACATGTTTATTTTAACCACAAATGATTTTCAAAATTAACTTAATAAATTATAAAAACACTTACAAGTTTTAAATAACCTAAACATGAACATTACTTATTTTTTATATACTCAATAAACAAATATCTTTTGATAATTTATTCAAAAGTCAAAGTTTACAGAACATTTGCGGGGAATTCTATTAAAAATATGTATATACGTGCACATTTGATACTGCTAACCAAAACAATGTTCTGCGACAAAAAACCCGAACTTTCTTAAAAATAAATTTATATTAAATCTCTTTAAATTAAGATTAGAAATACACGTAAAAGTCACTAAAAAATCTGATCCCACAAATACCCTTCTGATTTGGCAAATTATTTCTGCGGGATTCTTTGCTTGTCATCATGGTAAGTTCTAATTGTATGGAAAATTCGAAATTGGGTAAAAAAGAAATATCCTATAAGTGTTCGTTGGTGTTAGAGCTTGAAGAAATTATATGTAATTGTATTGAATTTTCTAGGGGAAAATGGTTAGCCGAGGCTGACAGGGTATGCACAACAATTTGAATTATATCTGTCAGTCTCCAAGGATCACCACCGAAAAAAACTTTGGCATGAAATGATGCGAGACTCTTTGAATCGAGAGAGAGCTGTCAAAACCCACATTTTTTATAACATTTGCCAATCATGTCACTGTCGAACAAAAACGTATTGGGTATTATAAAAAAAACTTGTGGGTATTTTGCATTTCGATATTATTTTTAGGTGCTCCGTCCCCGAGTAGGCCTTATAACGCATATACATCCCTATATACTTGTATTTATATTATAAAATTTTAAAAAAATCATATAACATAATAAAATAGCATATAAATAAAAAAAAAAATTATCACAAAGAAACAATACAAGTCATAATAAAAGATCATGGTTTTATAATGAACGTTTTAACTTAAATTAACAAATAAAATTTAGTTGCACGTTATTCAAAAGTATTTGTGCCGTTCCTTGAAATTTCGTTTCGCACTGCTTTTGTTAGCTCTTTTTAGCCTTTTTTGACATCTGAAATCATCGAAAATGAGAGAGTCTCGCATCATGTCATCCTAGTCATTATATCTATGCCAAGGATCATGGATAAAATGATTCGAAACTCATTGATTTGAGAGAGCGCTGTCAAAGTCCACATTTTTTATAACATTTGACAGTAGTGCCATTAAGGAAAGAAATAAGTTTTGAGATTTTTAAATGTATTTCTTGGGTATTTTTCGGTTTCCAATTTCCAGAAATATATGCATAATTACAATTAGTTTATCAAGCTAGATATCCTATATGACTTCTAAATATAAGTACATGTATATTTTAATCACAAAAGATTTTCAAAATAAACGTTTAAAACTAAATTTAACAAAATATTTTAATATTTCAAAACACACAAGTTTTAAATAACCTAATCATGATCCTTATATCATTGTTTTGGTTGTCATCTGTTCAATAGCTCATGAACTCGTGGTTTTTTTTGGCAGCACTGAAGGTTCATGAGCTCTCTCAGAAGGCAAAGAGAGGAGTTTCGGATGATTTTATCTATGCCAAGGATGACCATACTATGTGAACATGGGTGAATATAATTGAGTACAATTAAGTTTAACATAACTAGAATTATCGATAGTGATTTAGGTGTTCGTCACATTTGAAATGTAAACAATTTTATTTGTGAGAACATGTGTTAAAATAGTGCAAATGGCTCAAGTAATAAATTCAAAAGAATTATTATCAACAGCGCTTCAAAGCCGTATTATCCCCAACCAAGAATTTTTATTGCAAGGATCTATTTTAGATTCGGCGGTTGATCATTTAATACATAGGTTAGTACTGGGAATATCATGGGATTAGAGATCCTAAGAAAGCGTATGGCTGGGATTTAGAATAATATCCCCGAATTTGCGGTTAAAATGGGTATGTATGGATAAAAAAGGGGTAAATGTATAGTTAAGGTCCCCAAATGAAGGAGGCAGCGAAAATTACAATTTTTTTAAATCGTCTTATTTTGACGCGAAGATTACAAATTCGTAAGAGGGAAGTGAATTTTTTCAATAATTTAAATATACTTTTATATAAAAATTTAACTAATACACTTTGCACATATTTTTCAAGTTAGTTAGATGTTATTTTTGTTGTAGCGGCAAAATTCTCTAGAATTCAGGGTAAATGTATAGGTTAGGTCTCCCAACGAAGGAGAACCCAAAATTATAATTTTATATTTAAATCATCTTATTTTAACGCGAAGATTATAAATCCGTAAGCGGATTTATTTTTTGCGGAAACTTTAGTATGCCATCCAACGATTTCAGGGGTAAAAGGGGTATGGTTGGATAGAGGAGATTCTTCACCTTATAGCCGAGATTTTAATTTGAAAATTTCACAAATTTTATCTTACTATTTCTCGATTTGTAGTTACTTTTTCTTTTATATTATGCACTTATTATACACTTACACTTTACTACAATGTTTCTACACATTGTATTATTTTAATATAGGTTTTAAATAAGCATTTTATTTTTACACAGTTTTTGTTATATGCACAATAACAATCCGTAGAATTTCCTCTTTCCAACCAAACCCCTTTTAACCTTGAAATCTTGGAATGATATACCAAAACCTAATTTTTAAAAAGATGGATGTTTACAAAAAAATTCAAAAAATTACCAGTTTTTTTCGCGTGATATCTCCTTTCAGCTGTTTCAGTCTTCGGTCGCTCTTAAAAAAATAATCCAGGTCGGCCCAAAACCGGGGTGTTCATAAATTATATGCGTCTCCTTTCTGCACTGGCGGCTTTCGGTCGCGCTTTTTAAAATTACCCTGGTCGGTCCAAAACCAGGGTGTCCATAGTTCTTTTGTGTGCTGATAAGAATTCGATGCCGGGTCCCCAGTGTGAAAAAAGTTCGACGATATCCTCTATTCGTCTATAACATCAGCTCGCGGCACATTTTTTCAGTATTTTTTTCACAAGAAAATATCTAACTCGTTGAACTTGTAATTACAACTAAGTGATCTGAACTGAAAATAAATGTACTTTAAAAATTACTAGCCATAATAACAGTTTCACGAGAATTGTGTGTTTATATTTATGACACAATAAACATAAGTAATACATTATTTCGCGTTGAACTGCTAATTGCGCTGGCCTTCGGCCGCGCTTAAAAAAATAACCTTGATCCGTTCAAAACCAGGGTGTTCATAGTTCTTTCTTGTTGAGCTTTTTTCGGCACTAGAGGTCCAAAACCAAAGTTCTTCTGCGCGAAAATTCAAAATGTGTACAAAGTGTTTAAAACATAGTGAAATAGCGTGCATTACTTTCGCAATTTTTGAACTTTAAATACAAATATTTCGAAAAATATAAGTCTGAGACGCGTATATGTGTATACATATTTTAATCCTGAGGAACTATCCGTCCATACCATTAGATGGCGGCGCCAAAGAAATCGTAATTTAGCCCCATCTAACACCGGGATTTATCAAGAGAAAGGAAATTCTGAAATATTTTGCTTCACTCATCAAACTACTACACTTCTGTGCCAGGCATCCTCCATACGAACCGCTTGCCGCCCGGTCCAAATATATTAATTTTGGTTTCGTCAGTGAAAAAAACCTAAAGATAACTGAATTTCACATTAAGTTTCATGAATCAAGCTTTAAAAACACTTTACCCTACGCCAAAAAAAAGTCCTTGTTATCTTGATATTTCAGAGCAAATTCCACTCTTTCTGACAGTTTATTTTATCTAAGCAATCTGCGAATTGTTCCATTATTTCATTTTTATACCCTGAACAGGGTATATTAAGTTTACCACGAAGTTTGTAACTTTTTTTTTTTCTTTTTATAGTTGTTTTGTAACGCTACAGCAGACAGATATGGGTTAATTTTGATTATTCGCAATACAAACCGCGCACTTTGGTTGTAAATTTTTCGTTTTGTACTTCCGTCAGGTTTTTTATTACATAAAATTCGGAATTTAAAGCGCTGAATAATGTTAAATACAGTAGATATTTTTTTTTTTGCCTAAAAATTTGCCTATTTCCTTTACAGACTTATTATTTTCGTAATTATTAATAATAATTTTCCTTTCTTCCATTATAGTGCGAGGCATTTTCCAATTTTAGTCGCGCATAATCTTATTCCGTTGCCAGTTAATAATATTCTAAAAGCATTTTTAATTTGAGTTTAGTTCTTAGACAAAATAACTGTTGCTGTTATAGCATAAACTTTGGTTGTTTTTCTTCATGTTACTAAAAAATATGTCTTATTTGAAAGAAAAAGGTGTTTTTGAAAAAACTATCATACTTTGCTTACTACTTATATTCAAATTGAAAAAATTAAATTGTTTTGGGGGGTCCCGTTTGTCAGTGTATATATATATATATATATATACATTTTAGTAATCTGCTTCTCTCTCTGTACATGCTTCCTCTTTCTGTACATGCCCATTTTAGCAAAATGTTTACTGAATTTCTTTAGATATGAAGGGAAGATATAAACACACTAATTGGTAAGGAAATTCAAATGTTTTTTTTATTTAAGGGGTTACATTCACTTGCAAATGCGCTTTTTATAACATTTTTTTTAAAACGGCATTTTATATTACTGTTTTAAAAAAATTAACAAAGAGAATTTAATGTACTTTTAGAATCAGCGATTAATTTTATAAAATATTGGATCTCTTTGTTTCTATAGCCGATCTTCAGAACGGGAAGGGAAAGGGTTTCTGGCGGTGAGGAAGATATTTCGGCGTCAAATTATCTGAAACCAAAAACCAATGAAATTTAGTATTATAACAGATAAATACAGGTAATGACCGAAGGAAAAGTGAAAATTTTGATTTTTGAGAAAATGGCGGCTTCTCAAACAAAAAAAAAATTTTTTTTGTGACAAACATTTTTACAGACTCGTTCATATCTCCCAAACTATTTGTCGGATCAACTTGAAATTTTCGGAGAATACAATTATGTTCTTAATATAATATAACATCGTTCAAGTGGCCTCTACGACTTCTTTTGCAGGAACGAATTCGATGAACCCAATTCTCGAGTACTTTTTCCACTAAATCAAGTTGTATGTCATGAATAGCACGTTCAATATTGACTTCTAAAGCTTGAAGATAGTCTGGTTTATTGTTAAAGACCAGTAACTTCAAATAACCCCACAAGAAGTAGTCGAATGCTGTTAAATCACAACTTCTTGGAGGCCATTCAATGTGACAATTTCTTGTAAGTATCGAATCTCCAAATTTTTCTCGCAATAGTTCGGTTTTTGCTCGTGCTGTGTGGCGCATAACCCCGACTTGTTGGAACCAGATATTGTCAAGATCAACTTCCACCAATTGCGGCCACAAAAAGTTGGTTATCATAGATCTATACCGCTCTCCATTGACAGTAACAGTATCACCAGCTTCCTTTAGAAAGAAGTACGAACCGATGATTCCACCAGATCACAAACCACACCAAAAGGTCAATTTAGGTGAATGTAATGGTTGTTCATGAATAATTTGTGGAATTTTTTGGCACCATAATCGAGTTTCCCGGTTTCACCCATTTTCACACTGTCGAGAGAGAAGCTAAAAACATTTGTTCTCACTGAATTTTGTTATTATAGCTTTAGCGGTTTAGTAGATATGCACATTAAACTTATTAGGGGCGGGACCACTTACACTTTTAAAAAAATTTAATTTAATTTATTTATTTTTTAATAAATTGCCATAACTAAGGGTGCAGCTGCTCCTACCTAATGTGATCCTGTATACCAAATAACAGTCTTGTGTATTATTGTGAAACTTAGTTATGGCAATTTATTTGTTTTTGATCAATAGCGTTTTGTGGACGTGGCTGTGATCCGTTTATGCCCATCTGCAATACCAACCGTCTTGTGGTACCAAGAAACATGTGTACCAAGTTTCATAAAGATATCTCAATTTTTACTCAAGTTACAGCTTGCACGGACGGACGGATAGACGGTCACCCGGATTTCAACTCGTCTCTTCATCCTTAAAATTTATATATGTATAACCCTTTATCTAACTCGACTAGTTTTAGGTGATACAAACAACCGTTAGGTAAACAAAACTATTATACTCTGTAGCAACAGGTTGCGAGAGTATAAAAATGTGTTATCGGTCACCACGCTCAAAAAATGTAACTTGAATTAATATCAAAGAAAAAAAATGGTAATAAAAAATGCTATGCATAGCTTTACCGCGGCGGTTCCCGAGTGCCGCACGTACTTCTTTTGATATTTTAACACTACCACTTTTTTGAAGTGGAGCACAGTACGTTGAACGAATCTGCGGTTAACATCAGGGCTCTGGAAGATCTTAACAATTTGTAAATTTTTCACCAGCCCTCTTTTTGATTCCGATTCGATTGACGAAGTTCATATATTTTCAGCAAATAAAAATTTTCACCTTTTCATCTTTAATTGTTTGATGGTCGCCGCTTCCTTGACTAGATGGTTAGCAATCTCGTTTTCCCACTCGTTTTCTACCTTTCTTTAGTGTCAGTACTAGATATTGCATCTCATCTACCCACACCAATTGCCCTCGTCTGTTATAATCCTTAGGTCTGGAAGTAATCTTCTCCTTGTGAAAATTTGTTATCATTGTTGTTATGGTAGAGACATGAATGTAGATGAGTTGACAGACCTTCGACCGAAATAAATCTGTTCGTAACTCTTATATCCTCCGATTGAATGAATCGAAATCTATAATTTTCTACAATAAAATTAGCGCAAGATATTAGAAAAATGTACAAAAAGGAAAATTTTTATGATACAGTGCGCATAACTCAAAACCCTCGTTATCATGGCCGTGTATCTCAAAGGAACCCCTTTATTTCGTTGGCAAATAGAGAACGCATTTCTTTCGGTGATTCGGTAGATAATTCATAAATAAGCTAATATTTTTCCTGAAAAATGTGAAGTTCTCTGACGACAGTAAGTTTTGTATATTAGGGAGAGGTGTTACTAAGATTAGATGCTATATTGAAAGCAACCCAGTGAGTTTAGTCGATAATTACTATTGCCAACAGGACAACGACTTAAGCACGCTGCTGAAATTTAGATTCTCTGTTCACCTTATAGTGTACCACATAATTGCATACACTACCCCAACCTCAATCCGATTGAGCACTGAGAGATTCAGCACAGAAATTTAGTGATATTATGAACTTTCGCTTTCGAAAAGGCTTCAGGATCTTCACATAATTTCAATAATTATGAGAGAGTTTGCCAATGACGATAGTAAATACATATACACGAACAAACAGAACACGTAAATTCACAACAAGATCAAATTTCAAAAATGAAGTCAGTATATTTTGAAAATTAAAATTCTAATTTGTTTCGAAGATCTGATCGCTTATAGCATCTGTCATATAGACCTAACAGAAAAATATTACACCCCATTGAAAAAAGAAAAAAAGGTAGATTATGTGCTTTTTTTAACTTTTTTTTAATAACTTACATACTATAATTAATATAGATGTTTAAAATAAGCTAAATTTCGAACTTCGAAAGCATATATATCTATTTTGGAGACAAACTTCAGAAAAAGGGAATATACTTTTTTTTTACTTATGACTTAATCTTGGTTTGGTTCAATACCCAGAAAAAATTCTGATTTATTTAGTTATATGCAATGCTTATATGAGTCACTTTATGTTTATGGGTGTGGTAAAGAAGTATTGCAATGTTTTTATATCGCATGCTGTTAGATCCCATGTTTCGCATCTATATGAAACTACTTATTATACTCTCGCAACCTCTTGCTGCAGAGTATAATAGTTTTGTTCACCTAATGGTTGTTTGTATCACCTAAAACTAATCGAGTTAGATATAGGGTTATATATACATATATAAATGATCAGGATGAAGCGACGAGTTGAAATCCGGGTGACTGTCTGTCCGTCCGTGCAAGCTATAACTTGAGTAAAAATTGAGATATCTTTATGAAACTTGGGGGACATGTTTCTTGGTACCGTGAGACGGTTGGTATTGCAGATATGCGTAATCGGACCACTGCCACGCACACAAAACGCCATTAATCAAAAACAAATAAATTGCCATAACTAAGCTCCGCAATAAGATACAAGACTGTATTTGGTACACAGGATCACATTAGGGAGGAGCATCTGCAGTAAAAATTTTTTTTTTTTTAAATGGGCGTGGTCCCGCCTCTAATAGGTTTAATGTGCATATCTCCTAAACCGCTAATGCTATAATAACAAAATTCACTGGAAGCAAATGTTTTTAGCACTTCTATTGACGGTGTGAAAATAGCTGAAATCGGGTTGCAACTCCGCCCAGCCCCCATATAAAGATACTGTTAAAAACTACTAAAAGCGCGATAAGCACTAAACACGCCAGAGACATTAAATTTTATCTCTGGGATGGTATGAGATGACTTTATAGGAGCCGCGTTCAAAATTAGACAGTGGGCGTGGCACAGCCCACTTTCAGGGGAAAACCGATATCTTGAGATCTGCTTAACCAATTTCAACAAAATTCGGTACATAACGTTATTTTCATATTTCTATGTTATAGTGCGAAATCGGACTACAACCACGCCTATTTCCCATATAACACCATTTTCAATTCCATCTGATTCTTTCACTTTCCACTATGCATATCAAGCAACAATGATTATATCGGGGTAAAACTTTGCGTGAATAATACATTTAAAGTATGCCACCTTGTGACCAAAAATTGTCTAAATCGAACCAAAACTGTTCAAGCCCCTAAGTACTAAATATGTGGACCCCAGTGCCTATAGTTGACCTTCTACCGAAAATATCAGCCAATCCACAAAGAAATCTCCAACGAGTATACGATTTGACTTTGCGAGAGTGTAAAATGTTCGGTTACATCCGAACTTAGCCCTTCCTTACTTATTTTACATTAGCATCGAATATTTTGAGCCTCGTGTATATGCGTTGCTTTCATTACGTTCTCTAGCACATCAAAGCAGAGCGCCCCTTAGACGATCGGTTGTGAATGCAAACTGCTAACCAACTGGATATTAATTATTTTAAAAAATAGCTTTAATTCAATATTTAATTCTTAGCTATTTTCAATTCAGTATTTAACATTAACTTATAACCAGACTTCGTAAAAACAATTATTTTTACAGTGTAAAATTGGAAATTAACCGCATCCACCCCAATACAAAGATTATGGAGTTTACTATAAAGATACTGCGGTCCTTCCCTTATCCCGCCAGATCCTTTCACTAAATAGTGTCTTCAATTTTGGGAACCTGTCTTAAAAATGGTCGAAATCAGATATGGAATATAGAACCTCAGTGCCTATGGCTGAGTTTATTCCTACCACATCGGTAAATTTATACAATATCTTTGTGAAATTAAGAGGTGTTTTTTCCTGATAAATATGCTATATATGCAAAAAAATCGTTACTTTTCCCATCCTCAATATTCATAACTTTTTATTGTATTGAATATACTTGGCGGAGGGCGCAAATTAATTGTCATTGAAGAGTCTATTGATTGATTGATTAATTTTGAGGTATGCACCGCGACCTACGGTCTATTGTGCCCTCCCCTAAGTCATATCGTGTCATCTAGGCCCAGCATATTGATAAATTCCAAAATTCTGCTGGGTGCTAGTGAGGCGATACAATCCCTGTGTGGAAACATGGATCCTAGGGCCTTGATTCTGCGTCTGCAGACTGCTGTGCAGTTCATCAGCAGATGTTCGGGGGTTTCCGGCTCTATGTCGCAGAACCGGCAGTTTGCAGAAGAGGCTATGCCCATATTAAAGAGATGCTTCTTGAGCCTGCAGTG